TAATGATGAATTTTATTCTCAAACGGCCCCCTGACCCCCTAAACACCTACCGCGTAAACACACACTTAGTAAGTAATTCAAAAGTGACAGCTGAATTGTATAGAACAAACAGTCATTCGTTGATAGAAAGTACAGAATCTTGTGTGTGGTGGTTTATAGTCTCCCGATATGACAGACAAAAATAACAATTCTAACAGACAGGTTTTGGTAATAAATACAACTTAGTGTAATGAATGTATTTATAATACATATAATTGAATAGGAACAATTCAGCGTCATTTATAGTAAACATCTTAATGGAAATAAAAAATATACTTGACCACATCACTTTTCTGTTCACACTGAAGAAAACAACCAAACAATTTTATGACCGAATTCCTGTCTCAGAAGTGGCATACACATTAACAATATTCTGTGATCAGGTAACTAGTGTACATGAACAGTTCCACATTCCATACAACTTTAATTATGTATGACAGAAGAAAATAAATGTATTTCATTGAAAAATACTTCGTGTGGTCCCCAATATATATATAAAATGAAAATGAGTGTTAAATCATTTTGATCACATTATCAAGATTTGTGGCATTTATTCGTGTAAACGAAAAGTTTCATGCAACCCTGAAATGTAAAAAGCCGCAATTTTGACTCCAGTGTGTAAGTCATGTACTTGTCCTAGGCGTAACGTCACAATTGAAACAATTGAAACTTACAACCAATCAAAGAGCTGATAGGTAATACTACATAGGTTAATACGCAAGCAAGTATGACATGGGTGCATTCACTGGATTACACAGTACATTATGTGATAAAATTGGATATGTGATTCTGATGGGTATGGTCTAGGACGTTAATACTTATTGGGTATCCTTTCAAAAGTCTTACTGATTGTTCCTTCATTGTTTCACAGCCAGCAAATTCAATGATACATTGGGATAAAGTTTACCATGTTATAATGTAGTACTTGTAACAAGCTTCACCTTTTAACAATGACATGAATTGTAAAGATAGGTACAATATTATAAGTCAATTGTTTTATATACCTAAACACCCAACATTTTATGACAGTTATTGTTGCTAGCAGAAAATTCTTTTGGTCATCCTGAAAATTTTCTTATTATATTCACCGACATATTTCATGATTTAAATATGGTTCACAATAAATAGACAAGGATTCTTAAATTACGATACATTTGAAAGGTCTACAAAGATAGTACATGTATATGAATTATACATAAAAAATAGCGGACAGCTGGAAGACAACAGATTCAGAGGATTTCTGGACAACTTGTACTTTTGGACCTAAAATAACTCACTAGAACTCTATCTGTAAAATGTACTTAAGTCAAAGTTTTGACAAAATATAAGTGTATATACAATATTTATAATTCTATCAGGAGTGAACTTTGGTGAATGGAATTTATGAACCAAACCTCAAAATTTGAATTTTACTTCAATTTTAATATATTAATTAGGTCTGGTACCCTCATTCAGTAAAATACATCTAAGCAATTGAAACAATAATAATGATGAGCAAAACAGATACCTTCAAACTTTATATTGTACAAAGAACATCTAAAGAAAATTAAATTTACCGGTGAAAAGATTGAAAGTGGCATAACACTGTGGAGCTTTATAAGATTCTTACTAGGATATAACATAGATATTGATTAAGAATTTTATCCCAAACAGGTACTAGAGAATTCTTGTATACACAAAGAATGGTTAACACATGAAATAGTATACATGTAGTTTTCCATCAAACTGAGCATGGTAGAACCACCAACATAAGTGTCAACCTCTGAAACCACCTCATTCCACATTTCCAATGAGGAAGAAAAAGCATGAAACGTGACTGAAACTGATGTGCACAATCTTTCCTGTTTTATGAATCAAAATAACTCCGAAAAGCCTTCATCTGATTCAGACACACCTGTTATGATCATTACACACACCCTGCAGCAACTAGATCATTTGACCACTGGATGAGGATTTTGAGTTTGTGTGAGTTTGGACTGGAATGGGGGAGTTTCAAGGGAGATTGGTAAATTTTGGTCAAAATGAGAGAGTCTCCTTCCTAATGAGGGAGGTTTGACAGCTATACAACAAAGAACTATGAATAAGAATTGGATGAGCATTGGAAATCAGTCAAAATATATGTTTTAAAGAACAAATATGCATATTTAAACATCACCATGATACAGATCCAGGCAAGTGGCACCAATGGAAAATACTTATGTTTATTATATTGTAACACTAGTCAGGATTACACAACTCAGGAATCTACAGAACAGTAGTACATACCAGTAGTACATACCAGTAGTACATAACAGTAGTACATACCAGTAGTACCAGTAGTACATACCAGTAGTACATAACAGTAGTACAAACCAGTAGTACATACCAGTAGTACAATACCAGTAGTACATAACAGTAGTACCAGTAGTACATACCAGTAGTACATAACAGTAGTACATACCAGTAGTACATACCAGTAGTACATACATACCAGTAGTACATACCAGTAGTACATACATACCAGTAGTACATACATACCAGTAGTACATACATACCAGTAGTTCATACCAGTAGTACATCAATGAAATTCTTAAAATATTAGGCTAAAACACTGCGGTTTTGATAACATAAATTATTATATTTTTAAAGTATAGAAACAATTGCAATCATTTACCATCATATAATCAAAGACAATAAATAATTTCCTGTGTACATTGTTTTTGCTATACCACATATTTTAAATATGAATTAGAAAAAGAAAAAAACCCACTGAATATGTGTACGACTGACTAAACATAGAATAAATAGAAGAATACAAATCACAACTTGACATGCTGGTATGTGACTGATGTTATTAAGGAAACATTTTATGCGATTATATAATGTACCAGGGGTATGCATGGTCCAACCTCCTAGCTACTATTACCTATTAAAAGTTTTCTGGCCAGTGCTTTTGGGACCAATTAGGGGATAACCATAGTGGGGATAAAGTAGGGTTATCCCCATTCTAATTCATATCAACCAAAACCACAGACAGAAACGACGATTTTAAGATGTTTTTGAGTGTTTCTTCAAATTCTGGGTCTCGCTGCTCTGGATTGGTGACGTCAGAAATATTCAAAGTGAGGCAGAATTATGTTGACCTTTTGGGGTCACGCTTTTGTAAGTGACGTCATGAATAATCAATTTCATGAGGTTTAAGGGTCAGGCGGGGTCATCAACGTCATTAACAATCGCCATCCGGGCTTCATATGCAAATGAGAAATTTGCGGACGGTATATCATGGTTTTACTGTTGCAAATTATTTTGATTGACCAATCAAATGCCGTGTTACATCTCAAATGAATTAGAATTTCTCTTTTACAAGTCAAAGTTGTTCCCAGCGCTTTCTCTAATCAGACACTTTAGTTAGGAGAAATGTGGTTAAGTTAATGATGGTCCACTGAACTGGTGCATCATCCAACAAAACAAAATTATAATTAAGTATTTTAGATCCCTACTCATTACCCCATTCACCCCTAAAGTCACATTTGAACCTTACCAAATCAAAGACTGGGCAAGTCCAGTTTGAATATGTAGGGGTGAATGAGTAAATGGCAACCAATTCAAATTCAATAATATACATATATAATACAATTGATTGAAATGCACAATATATTTATCATCTCGTGAAAGAGTTCATTACTGTTTAAAAGAATGTTCTGTACAAGGCTACTTCACGTACAGTGGTTTGTTAATGAACAAAAGTGATAACTTCTATATATAGATATTAGCTGTACAAAGCTACTCATGACAAATTTATAAATGAGTACACATGTACAAATTTTAAATCTATAGCAATACAAGCTGCGCAAATCTACTACATGTACTACAAAAAATTGAACCTTTTTAGGATAATATACCTATTTGTACAATGTTGAAAATTACTCCCTTAGATAAAAACATTCTTAATTAATCAAAGCGTTTCATGTCTCAGGATAGGGCATCAGAAAGTTTAAATTATATTCAAGTTTACATCTCACACAGTTACCCACCAATTTTTATTCTCAGTAGGGCTGGGATGATGTATCAATGTATTGAAATATCTTGATACTTACTTAGGTGATATATGTATGTATGTCGCGAAGTATCATCATGAGCTGACAAAATGCTTGTTGAAAAAAAAATCTTCAAGTACTTTCTTGAACAAGAGATCCCAGAGGGATCTTGGCGCCCACCTTTGTACCATCTTCATTAGTTCTTTGTTAGTTCGATCTTTTCCCTTCTTTCCTCTAATCTGTTTGATCGAGTCATGTTAACAGTAAATGCACCTTGAGGTAACTTTTGATCTAAACTTAATACTGATGTGTATGAAAGCCAACCTTCAAAGTGAGTTTGTTCTTTCACATATTTACTAGTACAGTANCAACGAGGAATCAAGGGGAACCTACATTTACAATTTGAGAAAGATCCCTCCCGTACTTTCCGAGAAATAGCGATAACAAACTTTCACTATCAAAATCAAAGATGGCTGCCTGTCGGCCTTGTTGTTTATCCGATCAGTCTCTAAAATTGCCCTGCACAGCTAGGACCAAGGGGAACCTACATATAAAATTTAAGAAAGATCCCTCTAGTTCTTCCAGAGAAATAGCGGTAACAAACCCACACTATCAAAATCCAAGATGACTACCTGTCGGCCATGTTGTTTATCTGATCAATCTCAAAAGTTGCCCTGCACAGCTAAGGACCAAGGGGAACCTACATATAAAATTTGAGAAAGATCCCTCTGGTACTTCTTGAGAAATAGCGATAGCAAACTTTCACTATCAAAATCCAAGATGGCTGCCTGTCGGCCATGTTGTTTATCCGATCAGTCTCAAAAGTTGCCCTGCACAGCTAAGTACCAAGGGGAACCTGCATATAAAATTTGAGAAAGATCCCTCAGGTACTTCTTGAGAAATACCGATAACAAGAATTGTTTACGGACGGACGACGGACGGCGGACAACGGACGGACGATGGACCACGGACGCAGGGTGATTTGAATAGCCCACCATCAGGTGATGGTGGGCTAAAAATTATTTTAGAATAAACTTATCATTATGAGACTACTCAAATACTCTAATAAGATATCATTGTTATAATATGTAATAAGTACTTACCAGGTAACTACTAGGACTACCAATGGTAAGAAGAACTACTGATGAGATAACAATCACCAAATGCTTGGATAAAAACTGCAGAATTGATTCTTGGAGAAAAGAAAAGCAAGAAATCTTTAAATACATGTACATGTATTGTACCTGCCCTACTATTTTGTGGCTTTACATTTTAACCTAACCTTTCATAAATACATCTAATACAGAATATTGGGTACTTAAAGGGACAATTTAGTGAAGCAACACAAAACTATTCATGATTATATAGTTTGATATTCCTCATGAACAATTCATGTTGAGAAATTGACAAGAGACAATGTTTTCTGGGCGTTTTTAATCACTAACTGTACAGCTGTACGTTTTAGCGACAGCTGTCGATTAATTTCTAGCTAACAAAAATGTTTTCCAGTCGAGGAGAGAAGGTAATTAACTTCTCTCTTTATTCACCTAACCTCTATGGAATACAAGTACATGCATTTATTCTGAATCAATGTCATCTTCCAACATCATCTCAAACATCGTTATAAATGAGTGGTCTATTTTACTTTTAAACCTATTGATATATTGTACTTTCTGTGGTTTGAAAATCTCCCTGCGGCACCCTCTCAGTGCGCTAATTGAACCTGTTCATTTTTATTCAAATCCAAATGTGAACAGAAATATCAGATTAGAGGGGTATATTATGATACTTTTAATTCTTACTTGTGATGTATTGTGCAAATTCAAGAATGTGTTATGGTGTGAACTTAGACTCATAACTGACACTGTGTTGTCAGTCGACAGCGTAGTGCTGTACATATTTACTTCTCATTGAAAGGCCCGGATATTGAACTATTTTGGTTGCATCTATTTTTATCACCGGCTTTCCCAAAAGATGAAACTGACCACACTGGACGTTGGCTTTAGGTCATGTCATTATCAACAATGTAAACTTTCGTTAGAAGATATATATTTGCAGTATTGACTTGATTTTCTGGTTGTCATTTGACTTAATAACCCCTTTATAATGTTTACAACTTTTATGCATTTCATGGCATTATGTCATTTTGAAAATTTGCCGAAAGTGATATTGTAAAGTTTGACTACAGAAAATGTACATTAATTTTTGTTACTACTCTTGGTGAAGATGAACCGACTGCTTTTGTTTGTAAGATGGCCAGCGACAGTACGGACAGAAGTGGTTATCGTTACCAGTATCCTTGACCAGCCAGGCCACGATACAGACATGATGAAAGCAGTGACCACAGGGCAGTCCACACAGCTTCACATCCATCTCATACTCATCAAGACAGATGCCACATCGGGTCTCCACCAACATTCCCTCGGGAGCCCCACACAGTATCCCGTTCTGTTTCATGTCAACATCACAGATGTGCTTTTTATTGAAGTTCATAGCTGGGTCTGACATTGCAACATTGGCATTGTCAGTGTTTTGCTTGGATTTCTCATCACTTGTTTCAACCTTCTCCATTTTTTCATTCATCTGCATAGCAGGCTTTGATTCAGGTATCTCTTCTGCACCATCTCCACAACAAGCACCATTACTCTGCTTACCCTTTTGATTAGCTTCCTGACTGTTTTCTTCAGGGGAGGCAACACTATTTTGACTGTTGCTTGAATTGCCTTGGGATGATGTCCTCTCTAAATTGCTATCCAAAAGTATGTCTTGAGAAACTCCCCTCAAAAAGCTGACAATGGGGAGTACTCTGTGGTTCCAAATGGGAAGATTTCGGATGTAATCTGTTGAAATCATGGAGGAGTGGAATGAGCCTAAAGCTGTTTCATCAGCTGCATCCTCATAATCAATGAACCTCCTTCTCTGAGAAGCCAAAAATAGACTCGCTGTTGGAAAAAACAAATGTTCCAAAGTTCGAAATTGGGAAAAATTCCACTCGTTTGGATTGAATTCTTCGGCTTCATGATCTTTAAATCTGTAAGCCAAAATCCCCACAATGGAAACGTACATAATAAACGAAAATCCGCTGAAATATTTATGAGCAGTATAGAAACAATAATCCTGTCGCATGTACGAACCGAGTTCCGAAAGTCCCAGAATGCGGATACATTTCAACCCAAATTCTATAACAAATGATATTGTATTGAGTTGGAAAACTGTTAACAATATTATCCAAGCTAACAAAAGAACAGTGTTATTTTTTAAGACACAACAAATGAACTTAAAAAGTCTTTTTAACACTGATCCTTGTACGAGAAATGGTTCAAATAGGCTTGTAAAATTACACAGTCCTAAACTCAATACAAAAATGTCATTCAAACTCGGGTAGAGTGTTTTTAGAAAAACTTCCATGGATTTGTAAGTTGGATTTTCAATAGGTTTATTACCATATACCGAAAGTTTCTCTGCAGTGATAACAATATATTTTGGTGGTATTCCCCAGTCAAACTCCTTCAAAATGTCTTTCATATTCAGTGATTTATTGTTCATGAACCCAAATTTCACTCTACCGGGAAACTTAATGCTTACTGCTGAGAAAAACAGTGGTGGGTTCTTGATATCAGAAAACATGACCATACGTATCTCTGCAGTAGAATCAGTTTGATTGAATTTCAGCCATTCCCTCTTCAGTTCTTCATACGAGCGGATCTGGAAGACCTTTGTGGACATTGTCTCCTTTATCCAATTGAATATGCTCTGTTGACGATAGTGACCTTCATAACTGTACAACTTAACGACTGCCTTGGTTTTGAACTCTTGTGGAAGACCGAGAATGAGGTGAGAATTGTGCCAATTTTTCTTGGAGCAAAATCTGAAAATAGTGAAATGTGATACAATGTATGATATACCCAAATAATACAGAACATTCATGTGTGATGTGTCTATACATTAACTTAAGCTCAGATTATATCGACTTTTTCAATTGCCTGTAATATCAATTATACAATATACACTGCATAACTTAAAGCTTAGATATATATATTCTGAGACATAAATATGAATTTGGCCTTTCCTTATTTGATGCAGGAACTTTTTTCTCTTTATAATAAGTGACTTCGACATTTTAATTTGCATCAATATCCTGAAAATGAACTTGTTCAATGTGTCATTAAGTTCAGAATTTGTTTGAGGTATCATTAAGTTTAGAATACTTGTATAAAATTTCATTAATATCTTTCTCAAAATGAGGACAGAAGACTGATGACAAACTTTTTCTACTGTATTGTAAACAATCCATAGTCCCTCAGTTTCAGACAAACTTTGATATAGAAATAAACGAAGGGCCATAACTCTGAATACAGTCAGGGCACTAGATAACATTCTGCAATCAAATAGAGGTACAGTACTTGCATTCAAAATTTGGCAATTGTAGGCGAAAGTGTAAGAGATATGCCCTGATCAATGTGACAAAAAAATGCAAATGGACTAACAGACAGAGCACAAACCTATGGTCTCGTTCTGTAGTACTGTTGTGGGACTAATAATCGAGTTTGACCTTTTCGTGTCCGGGCTTTGAAATGCCAACTTGTCTGAGGTATCACAGTAAAATGAGTTGGAACAAAATTTTATCAAAATCTCATAATCTTGCATCATGAAACTAGTGAGAATGGAGGTGGAAGGTGATAATGTGTAAATTCAGGTTATAATTCCCAAACCCCAACGTTCATCAGGTACCCATTCCTGGATCTGTCCCTGGTAACAGTTACAGTATGTAAAAGGAACTTTGTGAATTACAGAAACCTAATTAGCTTGTTGGTTACCTTATCATAACTACCAGGTATGCCTTTCAACATGGGTTATGCTAAGAGCAAAAAATAAATCTTACTTCCTATCAAGATGGCAGTCAAACATTCCGACATTGACTCCAAATCTTGACATCTTTTTTCGAAATTCTAGCCAGCTTGTATCAGAGAGGGAGCTGATTTGACGACCTTTGGTGAGAACTTCCACCAGCCAGACACCATCCTTGGAGTCTTCCACCTGCTCGAGGAAATGGGCTTCCCCTGTGAAGTTGGTCACGCTGGTGTTTTCCTCCAGGGTTGTCTCTGAACTTGTGTCCTCCATGGCAGGTCCTGTGAAACACGATGACAATAAAGTGAGTAAAGAATCATAGAACAAGAGGCCCATGGGCCTTAACAGTCACCCGACTTCTGATATATTTATACATAGAATTGATTTTTGTTTTTAAAACATGAACAGAAGTATTATTCAAAGTGACAAAAAAACAATAAAAAAACCTTATTCAATATCTAGCATACAGATTTAAGACTGAAAAGTATTTGAAACTAGCACCTCTGATTCTAAACAAGGAAAATTAAGAAATTTTAGCACACTGACTCCTTTGGGCGCCCTTGGGATAGAGCTGGCTCAAAATTTTCAAAGTATCAAACGGTCACAATTTTGGTAGAGCGCCTAAAAACCCTTCCATCTTTGAAGAGTATTTGATTCTACCATATCTGGGTCTTAAGAAGAAGATTTTGAAATTTCAGTCAATTTGACCCTTTTTGGCCCCACCCATCAGCCCCTGGGGGTCAGTCAGGGCTGGTATGCACTTACCATAAAACTGCTATCCAATACTGATAATGCTAACCCAAATTAAATTACTTCCAATGGAAATTAAACAAATGTCGGTCCAAAATATTATTTCCCTATATAGACGATAGTAAAGTTTACCCCCTCCCCAGGGGGAAACTTGATACCCCAGGGTCATTTCACAATTTTGGTTAAGCACCTTAAGACCCTTCCATCTATGAAAAGTATTTGATTCTACCATATCTGGGTCTTGAAAAGATTTTGCAAATTTCAGTCAATTCAACCCTTTTTGGCCCCACTCATCAGCCCCTGCGGGTCAGTCAGGGCTGATATGTGCATACAATCAAACTGCTATCCAATACAGATAATGCTAACCCAAATTGAATTACTTTCAATGGAAATTCAACAAATGTTGGTCCAAAATGTGATTTCCCTATATAAACTATGTATAGTAAAGTTTACCCCCTTCCCAGGGGGAAACGTGAGACCCCTGGGTCAAGAAATTCACAATTTTGGTAATTAAAGCACCTTACGACCCTTCCATCTATGAATAGTATTTGATTCTACCATATCTGTGTCTTGAGAAGATGATTTTTGAAATTTTAGTCAATTTGACCCTTTTTGGCCCCGCCCCTCAGGCCCCTGGGGTCTGGGGACCATATCCTCCACTCTTTTTGTTGACCTTTGGCCATGGAAGGTTTCTGCAAAATTTCACTGAAATTGGTTCAGGGGTTTTGGAGAAGAAGTCGAAAATGTAAATTGTTTACGGACGCACGACGGACAACGGACAAAAGGCAACCGCAATAGGTCACTTGCGACTTTGTCTCAGGTGACCTTAAAATCTCTAGTTATAAATTTAAAATATTGCGCGCACAGGTGCTAGCCTCATCTGTCAATACACCTATAATATAAACAAATATCATAAATTGCTGTATTAGCAGTGTATAGTACTACTGTAAAAGCATAATATTTCGTTGGGGATTGAATTTCTTTTATTTCGTGGTTTTTATATAATCCTAACGAAACTTTAAGCACAAAAAATATAAACTTAATGAAAATATAAAAATAAACTATTAATTTAGTTACAAATCCATGCTGTATTTACATTTAAACAGAAGTCATGGTAAACGGTGTAATTATCATCACAGGCACGGAGATAAACACTTTTAACAATAGCATGTCAATCAAGCCTTATATTTGTAACACAGTTATTTTGCTCTTTGTATGCAACTAAGACTATAGAGCATGATGGATTTGACCGATACTCATCGAGTGAGTTTATCTTGCCCGGTCTTACATGTACTTCGCAAGTCGTACGGAGAAATCAACTTGTATAGAAACAATTACATAAAACCCACAAAAAATCTCTTTTTAACAATAATCAAATATTCTATTCAACGAAAAGGGTGTGTAGCGTAAATAAAGCAGTCGTCGTCAGTTGTTAACGACAATAACCTTAACTTTGGATCAATTTCCGGCACCATGCCCTGATTTTGACATTTTTTCAACTGAGACATGAGAATTCAACTTCTAATGCAATAGAGAAACTATTGCTAAAATGATTAAAAACACACGTCTTTCTGGAGTAATATTTTCATTGAAAATAGCATGATTTTCTCACATGATGTGTCAAGATAACCATGAATGTTTATGAAATGCATGCTCGTTTTCTATCAGAATTTGTGTTATAAAATGTTGGTAGCCCTATTGGTTTCCATTTTAGATAGCTATTAACTACCAAACTACCTACCGGTATGCTTGTTTAGACTAAATAATATGACCATAGAGTGATGGTCAATCTATCGTTTTCCACAGACTAGGGTGAAGCGAGGTTTGAAAAATTCAACTGGAGTTGACATGTGACAGGTGATCACCTCAGACGATGTACAGTTAGCCGGACCTATTATGTGTCTAACGCCTGTCAATTTTAACTTCTTACTTACCAAAAAAATACAGGGTTTTTAAATATTGATTCCACGAAATATAATCCCAACGATTTTGTCCCCAAACAAAAACAACGAAATTTAACCCCAACGAAAATATATATGCTTTTACAGTATATGTGGAAGGAAATAGCATGTAGTGCACCTGTTCTCTGTTGTTGTGCCTTGTCCGCGTGGTATAGTCTTGTGCAGAGTGTTGGCGTTTGTAGTTTCATGCTTTTCTGTCCATGTCTATGCGAGTGCTCTGTTTTGATTTGTGTAGTTTTGTATTGTTGTTTTTGTATATAGTCTACGTGTTATTTTTGTTTCGGGCAGACAGAAGGATTGAGTTCCTGGTACGACTGCCATAGGTCATGTTAGGGATTATATAGGTTTAATTTGGAAGTTAGGTATGTACATTGTATGAGGGATAGGAGTTGGTGTGGTTAGATGTAGCATATATAGGAACAGGTAGGCATGAAGAGGGCAGGGGTGGGGGGTGGGGGGATGGGGGTGTTCTTTTTGAAAGTTATTTGTGTGAATAGGGCCATGTCATTGTTTGCATTTTGCTTGTTGTAAATTTTTCTGTCTACATTAATAAACTCTGTTAATTATTATTCTTAGTTCGGAGGAACGGGTCAAGTATAGTTTGTTTTCAACAAACAGTGTTCGTCATGCTCCTGTTACATATATATATACACATAATGCAATATAATGTGATCCTACATTCATGGAGCCATACAATTACTTCAGATAATTTCTTGTTTTACATTCTTCTATATAGTTATATGCAGATTTGAAACTGACCAGTGGACTCCACAAGGTCGGACAGATCCCTTTTTTCCACTGCACCCTCATAACTGATGCCCCTCTGTTCAAGTAAGGCTTTCAACTTCAGCACCGACATCGTCATCGGATCCAAGAGTCGACGGGAAATGTTACCGGACTCCACCCAAGTCACGGTCTCGAGGATACGGGCCAGGACGAACAATACCATCACATACAAGATCACTAGTACTAGTTTTAACCACATTGTTGTTGTTTAGGTGAGACCAAATGATCTGGTCAAGATATAAAGTTTAAACAATGCGAGTCAGTTAGATTGAAATCATATGAAACTGCTTGTTTGGACTGTCCTAAATTGACCTGTATCAGTTCGGCTTACTGACAAAATGCCAGCATCTCTGGTTTGTGTACAGTACAGCTCATCTGACGTGTCAACATCGAGACGAGGTGCGCCAACTGTCAAATACAAAATGTTTGCAAATGCACCGCTGAAATCAACCCGTCCATTTTAACCGACATTTTCTACAAGAAATGGCACATAGTATACAATTTCCACAAATCCAGGCCCGTGTCCTTGCCTCATATTGACATACTGAAGCAATTTTTCATTACACGGTCGACTCTTGGTCTAAATATGGCGACTGTCAAAACAGATCACGTGATCGAATTCGTGTCTGATTTTAGAATCGACTGGCGGGTCCGGGTCGATGTGCCGTCCGGATATGAGAGGTTTGTATGGACAAATAATTGGAAAGTTGATAATTTTTATGTGATAAATCAATTTTCGTCATGCATTGTATGGAAATTGAAACCAATCAATCCCTCGCAAACAAAATTAAATCAAATTAAATGAACTAGTCTAATAGTCCGTCCTCTCTTTCACTTAGTTATATAGCTAAAGCACAGGGACTTGACACGTTCCTATGACCCAGAATGAAAATAACACCCCATGGTCCGATCCCCAGATCACTCATTATTGACAATAGTCCCAGTGTCCCAAAGTTGGTTGTATGCATCTGTCACTATTTTATTTTTATGGATTCACCAGACTTTATTAGATTTATTATAAATCTAACGAAAAATAAAGGTACGCTGAACAATGCCTAAAAATGCATTTTTTATCATCGATCGTCATAATTAATTGGTTCATTGGTTCATTGATTGTCACACCGTTGTAGGCGTTAGTCGCTTCTTGAGGTGCTTCTTAATTCTGTCCACTTCACTTCTGGTTGCATTAGGAGGTATTGAAGAAGACTTGTTTCTAATGGAATGGATTCAGTAACATAACGTACGTAGCCGGTAAAACGCAGACGCGTACGCTAGCTATAGCCTCTAGTATGTTCTTTTAGAATATTTCAGTGTCCGTGACGATTATTATTTTAAAAGTAAAATTCACTTGGAAATCGGTTCAAAACGTGTGCGATGAGGCTAAATGTGTTGTATTTTAGTATGTTTTGCCAATGTGACTACCCCTGTTCTCCCTCTTTGAGAACATGACGTTGCTTGGATTTGACGTTATACATGGCTGGTGTCAACGATAGACAAAAAAGCAAGGGCGGATCTAGGCCCGGCGCGCCCGAGTCAAGCGTGATTTTGCTGATTGACTGTACGGTACCCTACACCAATCCAGTATGGGTTACCGTTACTAATAGTCAGTTTACTATGTTTTCTGAAATTCCGAATTTATAAACTGGCATTGAGAACGGAATTATAATAGAAATTATGCATCCGGTTTTTTAAAAAGTTGAAGAGCGGTCATCTTTGAGTGCAGGGAGGTTTGCCTTGGTATGATAATGGTAGGTCACTGTTTTATGTTGATTCTCCTTTTACTTTTGTACTTTCGTTCATTACACTCAAAACCAAATAACAAATCCCCCACATCGGATGATCCTTCATGAATGATTATCCTTGGGTCCTTGAAGGGAAGGGGGGGGGGGGGGGCAGGGGGTCTTCATCTTCCATCACCCGCCCCCTCATCCCACCTCCCGTCCTCTTTTTCCCGCACCTCCCGCCCCAATATAACAAACAACGCCGGAGTATATCAATTGCATGCTAATTGGTGTCCATATGATCCCCCGTGGTAGGTATCGTTATGACCTGTCCTGTTTTAGTTCTGATCACGATCAGTTTCTATGATGGTTCTGTGATATATTCACTTCTTATTACATGGACGACAACTGATTTGCGATATTTTCTGGATTCCTACATGCTAAATCTTTGACTTGAGGAAAAGACGGACAGGGGGTCATTATTTCCCGGTTCCCGCCCCCTAACTCATGGTTCCCGCCCCTAACACCCGGTTCCCGCCCTAACTCCCGGAAACCTCCTTCCCTAGCCCCTGGTCTCCCGCCCCCTATCCGCCTCCCTCCTTGAACTCGATGGTCAGGTGGTTGCGCCCCTCCCTTTCCAGGGGCGTAACAAACGGGTTTTCAATGTGTAAGCCCAATGATGAAGTGTGCTGCCGAAGGCAGGNTTTTGCTTCTTTTTGGGTTCGTAGGGATTGGTACTCATCTACGCCAATTCTGTTTTGGAGTTCGGTAACATTATTCCACGGAAAAGAAAAAATTAAATCATGTGGATTTTGGGATAGTTGTTGTAAGAGTTTCTCCTCGCGACTGTGACTCTGGTTGCGCAGGGACATGAGACTAGTATCACAAGCCATCACTAGGAATAGTTTAACATTATGTACATAAGAACGGATATACTGGTCAATGTAAAATATAAAGCCATGGTTAATGACCATTCCATATATATTTTGTATTAATAAAAGGGATAAAAATCATAGGAACTGTTTATTTTACGGGGGGCGGGGGGCTAGTGAGTACTGTGTGTATACCAATAATTTGCATAGCTAGAGTTGCACTGACACGGTTACCATGTCGAATGTTTGAAGCCAGGCTACCAACCATATTGTTCCCTTTATATGTATAAAAGCGGTAAAAAAAACACCTTAGAAACACTTTATTTCACAGGGAAAACTAGAGTTAGTGTTTGGGTACACCGATAATTAGCAAGGCTAGAATTCCACCGGCGCGATTACCATGCCGTATGAATATGCTAACCTCAGTTCTACATTTGTTAGAGACTTTGATTGCAACGAAGCATTTTAGTTGGCGGTCTTTATAGCAGATACAAAACACCTGTTATTGCTTTTTAATATTTTATATCATATAGTCTATGTTGTGTGTATTTTTATTTTTTTATTTTGTCAAAAATGATGTGTAAGCCCGGGCTTTTTTGCTACATAGGTTGTTACGCGCCTGCTTTCCTCACCTCACCCACTCCATAATCAGGTGCACACCCCTTCCCCACCATGATTGAGTGACTCACCCATCCGGTGCCTGTGGGTAACTCAGGATGGGGAAGGAGGGGCGCGTGACCCTTCCCCCGTAGCACCCCACCCCGTCACCCAACTGGCGCCGTACCTATGCAATATTTGCGCTCATGAGTGGGTTTGGGTGCATATGGACTTTGTATGGTTATATTATTTATTGTATCAAAAGTAGGGTGATCATATTAATAGTATATGCTGTACTCTTGTGTTACTGTATATGTTATGTTGTATTTTGAACCGATGAACCGTAAGACTCAAGTTAAGTTTAAAAGTACTTGAACTTGAAGACAACTGCTTTAAATTTGAGACTCTCCTTAATGTTGATTTGCATTTCTCAAACCTCTGTTAAAATTATGGTATTATCACACTTATTTGTGTACGAATTTCCACTTCAATATAATAATGTACCAGTTTCATAAGGATTCAAAAAAAAAACGAAATCGAGTTTCTTTTGATGTCTCGTTTTTCAACGGCTTCCAATTTATATCCCTGCTATCCCCTATGTCCGGTCCAATGAAATCACTGTACTATGTATTTCTTGAAATGTCTACACTTGGCTCAAGCTCTACCCAGAGTTGTCGTCCTTAACACCCATTTACACAAGGTGCAAGCGAGTGTCAGGAACGACATCTCTGGGTAGATATTACACTTTGCTATGACAAAATGTATAAAGGAACAAGAGGCCCAATGGGCCTGCAACGCTCACCTGGTATTAATCTCACACTTGTAATCTTAAAAGTGGACTTAAATACAGCTACAGGCAGAATATCAGTGTGACCTTGAATGTCAAACAATGACATGAGGTTGAAAGTGGGTCAATGTCATTCATTTGAACAAATTTGATAGCCCTGATTGCTACAGGCCAAATATCAATACCCTGGGCCTTTTGGTTATTGAGAAGTTGTCTGAATATTTTAAGACATTTGACACCTGTGACATTGAAAGTTGGTCAATGTCATTCATTTGAACAAATTTGATAGCCCTGATTGCTACAGGCCAAATATCAATACCCTGGGCCTTTTGGTTATTGAGAAGTCGTCTGAATATTTTAAGACATTTGACACATGTGACATTGAAAGTTGGTCAAGGTCATTCATTTGAACAAACTTGGTAGCCCTTCATCTCAGCATGCTACTGGCCAAATATCATCACCCTGGGCATTTTGGTTATTCAGAAGATGTTTAAAGGTTTTAAACATATTTGACCCCTGTGACCTTGAAAATGGATGAAGGTCATTTATTTGAACAAACTTGGTAGCCCTTCATCCCAGCATGCTACTGGCCAAATATCATCACCTTATGCCTCTTGGTTATTCAGAAGAAGTTATTTAAATGTTTTAACATATTTGACCCCTTGTGACCTTGAATATAAGTCAAGGTCATTTATTTGAACAAACTTGGTACCCCTTCATCCCAGCATGTTACTGGCCAAATATCATCACCGTAAGCCTATCGGTTATTCAAAAGAAGTTGTTGAAAGGTTTTAAACATATTTGACCCCTGTGACCTTGAATATAAACCAATGTAATTTATTTGAACAAACATGGTAGCCCTTTATCCCAGCATGTTACTGGCCAAATTTAGGCACCCTAGGCCTCTTGGTTATTCAGAAGAAGTTGTTGAAATGTTTTAAACATATTTGACCCCTGTGACCTTGAATATAAATCAAGGTCATTTATTTAAACGAACTTGGTAGGCCTTCATCCAGCATGTTACTGGCCAAATATCATCACCCTAAGCCTATCTGTTATTCAAAAGAAGTTGTTGAAAGGATTTAAACATATTTGACCCCTGTGACCTAGAATATAAGTCTAGGTCATGTATTTGAACAAATTTGTTAACCCTTCATCCCAGCATGTTACCGGCCAAATTTAAGCACCCTAGGCCTATTGGTTATTCAGAAGAAGTTGTTGAAATGTTTTAAACATATTTGACCCCTGTGACCTTGAATATAAATCAAGGTCATTTATTTAAACGAACTTGGTAGGCCTTCATCCAGCATGTTACTGGCCAAATATCATCACCCTAAGCCTATCTGTTATTCAGAAGAAGTTGTTGAAAGGATTTAAACATATTTGACCCCTGTGACCTAGAATATAAGTCTAGGTCATGTATTTGAACAAATTTGGTAACCCTTCATCCCAGCATGTTACCGGCCAAATTTAAGCACCCTAGGCCTATTGGTTATTCAGAAGAAGTTGTTTAAATGTTTTAAATATATTTGACCCCTGTGACCTAGAATATAAGTCTAGGTCATGTTTTTGAACAAACTTGGTAGCCCTTTATCCCAGCATGTTACAGGCCAAATATCATCACCCT